AGTGGCAATCTTTTCTCTACTGCCTCCAAGACTCTGGCAAGGAAATTGGGGAACCATGCGCCCGGGCCTTGAACTAGGCTTCTAAAGAGCTGACTATAAGTAGGAGGATTTATATTTTTTACGGCTCTAAGTGCCAAATCTCTGACCTGATCAGAATAGGCAACTACTCCAATGCGGGCCTGTTCCTGGGGCTATGTGTAGGTGCCGCGGCCTGTAAGCATATCAAAGGTTACTGCAATTCATAGGCAGCATTATTCCTCACCACGGTTTCAGCCTCTTCCTGATAGGAGGCTTTCCACTGTGAGAACTGTGGTCTCGACAAACATGCTTTGAGCAGTGCAACCCAGTCAAAATGAGTTTGAAGGTCCGCTGCCCATTGTGTGAGCACCTGTTCAAAGTAGGGAGAGTCAGGGCCTGACTCTTGAGAAGCCTTTTTTAGCATAGTGAGGTCATTTACGGGCGCTGGAATCCAGGGCCTGAATTCTGCGTCTGCTCCTACATTAACGGCAAACGTGCAGGTGGGATGGGGTCTAGCAGCTGCCCTGAGAGCCTGGGGGGACCTCACCAAGTCTGACACGCTGTCTCTTTCTCAATCACATTGGCGCACCAGATGTTGAGGTTGATTCGTTCTGAAAGGAGGAGCGTGGTAGGGGCAAGAGGCGCAGAGTCAGCACGCAGACCCCAGGAGTCGGGTAAAAGCAGGCCAGAGGCCAGCAGCACGCAGACTCATTTATTTCAGTTGGTACAACAGCTTAAATAGCCAAGGCAGCCAATCCAGTCAAGGGGAGGTCTGTGCCCTAACCAATGACAGCCTGTTGCCAGGCAGTATCCAAGGCCATCCAATCATAGCCTGTTGCCAGGCAGTATCCAAGGCCATCCAATCACAGCCTGTTGCCAGGCAGGCTCCGTTGCCATGTGGTTTCTGAAGCCATCCAATCACAGCCTGTTGCCATTCAGTCTCCGTTGTCATGTGGTTTCTGAAGCCATCCAATCACAGCCTGTTGCCATTCAGTCTCCGTTGTCATGTGGTTTCTGAAGCCATCCAATCACAGCCTGTTGCCAGGCAGACTCTGTTGCCAGTGGCCATCTTGGCATGGCCTCCTCATTCCACCACGTTTTGTATCTTAAGGATAAATTCATTGTAATAATTAACAATTTTTCATAAAAAACACAAACCGTAACCAAAAGAAAACATTTATAGCACATATAATCAATAAGGACTGGCAACCAGAATTATGTCAAGATGTCAATTTTATTTATTTTATTTTTCAAAAGATTTATTTATTTATTTGAAAGGCAGAGTTAGAGGCAGAGAGAGAGAGAGAGAAAGAGAGAGGTCAGTTGGTCTTCCATCCGTTAGTTCACTCCCTAGATGGCTGCAACAGCCAGAGCTATGCTGATCCATGCCAGGAGCCAGGTGCTTCTTCCAGGTCTCCCTGGAGGGTGCAGGGGCCCAAGGACTTGGGCCATCTTCTACTGCTTTCCCAGGCCATAGCAGAGAGCTGGATTGGAAGTGGAGCATCCAGGGCTTGAACCGGCACCCATATGGGATGCCGGCACTGCAGACCAGGTGTTAACCCTCTGTGCTATGGTCAATTTTATTTTTAAGAAATGCTAAGTTTGGGGCCGGTGCTGTGGTGCAGCAGGTTAACGCCCTGGCCTAAAGCACCAGCATCCCAAATGGGCACCGGTTCAAGACATGGCTGCCCCTTTTCCGATCCGGCTCTCTGCTATGGCCTGGGAAGGCCGAGGAGGATAGCCCAAGTCCTTGGGTCCCTGCACCCACATGGGAGACCCAGAGGAAGCTCCTGGCTCTTGGCTTTGGATCGGCGCAGCCCTGGCTGTTGCGGCCAATTGTGGAGTGAACCAGCGGATGGTTGACCTCTTTCTCTCTCTCTCTTTCCCTCTCTCTCTCTGCCTCTCCTCTTTCTGTGTAACTCTTTCAAATAAATAAATAAGTCTTAAAAAAAAAAAAAGAAATGCCAGGTTCTACACAATGGAATATTATTCAGCTATAGGAAAGAACAGAATTCTACCATTTGCAGCAAAATAGACACAACTGGAGTTCATCATGTTTGGGATAAGCTGAACCCAGATGAACTAATACTGCATGTTCTCCCTTATATGTGGGAGCTAAAATTCAAAAACAAAGAAAAAAAAAAGAGAAAAAAGTAAGAAATATCTTGTGCTGATGCACAAGATATATTGCTGCAAATATAGTTTTGTAAAACTTTGTTTTATACCTTTGTGAAACCAGTGGTTAAGATTGTTATACTACTGTAGTTCTAATGAACTGTTATTACTTTAAAAGGTACTGTATATGGGTGAAATGGTCATTTTTTCATTCAATCATTGTGTATGGCTGTTGTCTATATTCCCACTAAACTAGGAGGATCTTATTGCTTTTTACTTTAAACTTCTTATTTGGTAAAATATTAAGCTTTTTTACTGTAATGTAAATTTAAAATATTATCTTGAAAAGAAAAAGAGATCTTTCATCCACTGATTTAATTCCCACAACACCTGGGGCTGGGCCAGGCTGAAGCCAAGAGCCAGGAACTCCATCTGGGTCTCCCATGTGGGTAGCAGGAACCAAGTATTTGAGCCATTACTGCTGCTCCCCAGGGGATATATTAGCAGGAAGCTGGAATTGGAAGCTGAGTGGGACTCAAATCCAGGCACTCTGGTATGCGATGGGATGTCCCAAACATCATCTTGAGTGCTTGTTCTGAATGCCTGCCCCAGGAATCTGAATTTTAGCAGACTCCCTATGGTCACAAACATATATTACCCTTCTGTGTTCGGGAGTCACATGTCAGTCTGTGAGTTGACCTGGGTGGGAAGTTGTAACGTGGGCTGGTGGTGTACAGTTCTTTACATGCATTTGTCCCCAGATCTGTCAGTGAGCTCCAGGGGTACCCCCAGAGTGGCAAGGAAGCCATCCATGCCACAAGGTGGGCCTGTGGGGGGGGGCGGGGAGGACAGAGGGCGTGGGGACACACCGGGAACATGCGGTGATCATTAGAATGTTGTGTCATGGAATCAGCATATATTGAGTGGCTGATGTACGTATCCCAAGGTATATCATCTCTAAGCTTGAACTGTATGAATTTCCAGTCGTTAGTCTGTGGCAAGCAAACTCCCTGATGTGTTCCAGTTCATGGTCTTAGAGAGTTGAAATCCCTCATGACTGTGCAGCACATTTAACTCAGAAAGCTGAGAGCGATGACAACATTCAAGCCTTGGCCATGCTCGGCGAGCTGGGCAAGAAGCAGCGGCACTGTGTGGGTAGGATGGAGGGGCTCCTTTCGTCCAAGGTGAACTTGGTGGTTAAAGCCCAAGATGGTCTCTGAGCTTTTTAGTTACCTCCCTCTCTATGGATAGCATTTCTGAAAGATCAGCAGTAGATTGAGGCTTTGACACTGGAATGCCTCAGTAGCTTGGGGTCACGTGGCGGGGCTGTGGCAGTTGGTGCAGTCACACTGAAGGCTGTGCCCCACACATACTACCTGGGCACCGGTCAGTTTGTGGTCTGTAGGGGAACTCTTCATTTTTAGCTGAAGACTAACCCTTTTCTCTGTGTCTCGGTCAATGATGCTTATGTATCGACTGTTTCATTTACCGACTGCTGTGTGGCAAAGCACCCCAGAACTTAGTTGCTTACAACAGGGACACCCGTTCCTGATAGTGCAATGTGTGCACAGCTTGGTGGGGATGGCTCCTCTCTGCTCCACGTGGTTTCTTCTGGGGCCTCCCTAAGGGTGCCTTCCCCTAGGGACTCAGCTTCCTGGCATCCGGGAGAAGTTCCAGGAGTTCAGAAGCAGGTTCACACCCAGGTTCAAAAGCCCTAGATGTCATTTCTGCCACGTTGCTTGGTCAAAGCGTATGGCCAAGCTGGCCCAGAAGCAGGGGGCAGAGACGCAGTCTCCTTTTTGATAGGAAAAGTGTTGCTCACATGCACAGGTGGAAGAACCACTGGTGTCTAACTTTGGAAATGGAGCCCCCACTGCCTTCTTTTCCTCACTGCCTCCTTCTCTCCTCTTTCCCTGCCTCCCTTCCTTTGTCTGTCCTGCCCCATTCCTCTTACTGTCATCATAAAACATCTGTATGTATTTGTTTAGAGATTAAAGATTAATCTTTTCTCTCTGATAACCTTTTGTACTTTCTTGATACTTTCCTAGTGATGTCTGTCTGAGAGGCAGAGACAGAGTGTGAGAGAAAGGGGGAGAGACGAAACACACTCCCAGCCACTTATTTACTCAAATGCTTGCAATGTCTGGACTGGACCTGGCCAAAGCCCAGAGCTGGGAACTCATTCCAGGTCTCCCTGTGGGTGGCAGGAACCCAAGAATTTGCCTTCTAGGCTCTGAATTAGCAGGAAGCTGGAGTCAGGAGCCAGTGGTGACATTGACCCCAGGTATTCCTATGCAGGACCTGGTAACTGCTGACCTACGCCTGCCCCCTAGTGGTGCTTCTGGGTTCTGTGTTTCATGCTCAGTTTTGTCTCTGATTAGTTAGTTCCAAGCAGAGGCTGTGCTTCCAGTGCCTGCCAGGTGCTCAGTAACGGATGGAAACGTTTTATATTGCCAGGCAGCTTCTTGTCCAGAGAAGGCATCCTTTCATTTTAGTCATGTGCTTCAAAGTGAAACAAAGTAACTGGCTGTAGCTATTCCGCTTTTGAATTTTCTTCCTTGGTCAGCACCCTGCTTCCCAGCCCCCCAGTGTCTACCAGCTTATGCTATATAGTTATGTTTTATGGTATCTATCTATGTTTATATTACATATTTCTATGGTATATGTTATCCTGTAGCATATTACTTGGTTATACAAATACATAAACACATATATTTGTTGGAAGAATCAAATATCCCTGTCTACTTTGTCATCAAACCAAGCTAAGGGAAGGAAGTAGGTAAATTAAAAGTTGAACCGCCCTGCTAGAATGTCATTCGCCACCCCGACTCCCTGATCTCTTTCTTTCCTCTCCCCATGGTGACCAGGAGTGTGGGGAAGAGGCCGTGTGTGTCATTATGTGTGCGTCAGTCAAGTACAACATCCGGGGTCCGGCCCTCATCCCGAGAATGAAGACCAAGCACCGCATCTACTACATCACCCTCTTCTCCATCGTCCTCCTGGGCCTCATCGCCACGGGCATGTTTCAGTTCTGGCCGCACTCCATCGAGTCCTCCAGCGACTGGAGCGTGGAGAAGCGCAGCATCCGGGACGTGCCGGTGGTCAGGCTGCCGGCCGACAGCCCCATCCCGGAGCGGGGGGACCTCAGCTGCAGGATGCACACGTGTTTCGACGTGTACCGCTGTGGCTTCAACCCGAAGAACAAGATCAAGGTGTACATCTACTCCCTGAAGAAGTACGTGGACGACTTTGGCGTCCCGGTGAGCGACACCATCTCCCGGGAGTACAATGAGCTGCTCACCGCCATCTCGGACAGTGACTACTACACTGACGACATCAACCGGGCCTGCCTGTTCGTTCCCTCCATCGATGTGCTCAACCAGAGCCCGCTGCGCATCAAGGAAACGGCGCAGGCATTGGCCCAGCTCTCCAGGTGCGTAACGCATGCAGGCCAGAGACCCAGGGGCGTTCTGATTGTCCTTCAGGCCACTAAAGGGAATTGGACGGAGAGAAACGCTCTGCCTGGAGAACTGGCTTCCAGATGCTGTCCAACTTGTCAAGGGAGGGTGTGCGTGAGCCGTGGGCTGCTAGCAGGAGGCCTGTACTCTGAGAGCCTGGCCCCAGGCAGAGCCGTCCCCGACTCCGGTTCTGCTGCTGCGGGGTGGGGTCCCAGCTGCTTACTGCCTACAGCTAAGCAGGGCCCAGCTTCCCGCAGCTTGCCTGTTACACTTCCACACGCGCCTCCCCCACCGCTCGCATAATCCGTGTGCACTGTGAGAGCTCTGAAAATGTCGTGGTCCACGAGAGGACTTCCATAACCCTGCCCTTAAGAGGTACCGTTATTCATACTTCATTTTATTATTTGAGAGACAGAGAGTTAGGGAGAGAGAGCCTCCCTCTGCTGATTCACTCCCTGAATGCCTGCAACAGCTGGGACTGGGAGCTGAGACCTCAATCCCAGGCTCCCATGTGGGCGGCAGGAACCCAGTTGTGCTATTTCTGCTGCCCCCCGGTTCTGCATTAGAACCTAGAACCTAGAATTGGGAGCCGGAGTTGGGAATCAAACTGAGGCCTCCCAGTGTGGGCTGTCTGAACCATTGTGCCAAATGCCTGCCTCCACTGTTACTGTCGTGACGTTACTTTTCAGCCATTTTTGTATAAAAAATATATTCATATACAAGTGCATGGGTAGACTTTTTGTTATTAAGGGTGAGATCAGGTAGTACATTTCTCTTTGGTTGTGTTTTCTTCTTAATATGGCAGGAATGTATTTCCAAGTAAGTAATGCTTTTTTGCTATATAGTTTTAAGGGTTATATAGTATTCCACTTTGTGGATGTTTCATAATGTGTTTAGCCAACCTTCTGTAATTTATTTATTTGTCTATCCCTGTAACCAATTGGTAAACATTTAGGCAGTTTCCAGAACTGTTAGAAACAGTGCCATAGCAGACAGGTTTGTGAATACGCCCCTCTGTTTTTGTCTGTCCAGGAGACAGCCTTGTGCCTGATGCACTGTTGGGATTATGGTAATTAACTTTGCGTTAATTGGTTAATCGGTGAAGTGGCCCAGTTTGATATCTGTGGGGATACGTGCTATTTCCTATGCAGTAAGGGACGCCTGTTTGTTGACACGTGGATTCTCCTACATGGTTCATTTCTTCACAGGTGGGACCGAGGCACAAATCACCTGTTGTTCAACATGCTGCCTGGAGGTCCCCCAGATTACAACACTGCTCTGGACGTCCCCAGAGACAGGTAGGCATATCTGGGTGTCCCTGTGGGGGGCTCTGAGGAGGAGGTGCATGTAAGCCCCTGTGAGTCTGTTGGGACTCGTTTCGTTGTCAGCAGGGGACCGGCCCGGGCGTTTCCCTCTTAAAGGCCTCCAGGTGCTGCGACTTGCTTAAATCTGTGGTAGGAAGCCAGCCGCGGCTTCTGTCAGCACAGTCTCCCAGGAGATCGATTTCTGAGCCTCAGTTCCATTTCCCTGAGGCCACGTTCATGACTGGCTTGTGTCAGCTCTCCCTGCATTTGGGATTCTTTGCCAGAAGTAGCCCTGCGGCTTGGGGAGGGAGGGGGGTGTGGAGTGAGGCCTGACGCCCGCGGTGCGGGGAAGGGCAGCTCTCTGCGGTCCCAGGCACCGTGCTGTAGCAGGTCCCTCCCTGTCTTCTTCCCCGCGTCCCTCCACTCCTGTTTTCTTCCCTTCCCCTCCTCCTTTTCTGGTAGAATCTCCCAAACAGGCACATGTGGACTGTGGCGGTCCACTGTGGATCTGAGTTCCTTCACCGTGCACATCTGCCCTTTGCACTCAGCTGAGCCGCCCCAAGCTCTTGGAAAGCTCTGGAATGAGGTGTTGAGTAACATACTTCCCTCATGCTTGGTGCCAGGCTTGGAGGAAAGAAGGTTTGGGCCCCATAAGGGTCCTGGTTCATGTTAAGGGTAGAGGACCGGCAGGAGCTTACCTGTGAACTCATTTATTCCAAGTCTCATTAGACTTGGTGTTTAATTCTTGGAACCGTTCGTTACTGAAAATGGTAAGAGCCTGAGGTGTCAGCCTGCAGCCGGCTGCTGTTCTCCCCTTGTCAGAGGCCCAGGTGGTCATTTATAAAAATCTACACCTTCCCAGGAAGGTTAAATCTGCACCTTCTCTGCTGTAAGTGGTTACTTCCGCCAGTTTTGAGTCTGTCTGGAAATACAGCTATCACGGGAAGAAGCAATGCCCTCGGCTCCACTGCAGAAACCCCTTTGGGCGATAGGGGGCAGCCCCGCCACGCGGAGCCTGCAGAAACCAGCAGCACACGGGGCGCTCCCTGCTGGGGCTCTCCGCCCTGCGCAGGTGCATTGGTGCCTGCTGGGGCTACTGCATTATGGACGTGGTTGTTCCGGGGAAGGGGAACTGCTTCAAGAACACAGAAGGGGGAGGAAAAGAGCCATGAGGAATGGGATATTCTCACCCCTTGGGTTTCTTTTCAGAAGGGCTTCTTTTTGCTGACAGTTTGGAATCTGCATGTGCAAGGGAGCTGGAGTTTGTTTTTATCAAGCACACACGTCAAGTGCGCTTTCATTTCCCTGAGGAAGGCGTCAGGCAGGCAGGAGAAAGTCTGAGTGCTGGCTTGTGCTTCCGTGTTAAGGGTCGGACAGGTTCATCACTTTCCCTGTGCCAGTGTTTCTGTAAGTGATTACAGTCAACCCGAGCAAATGGCGCATCACCGCCGGGCGCATCACCGCCGAGTCCCCCTCTGTCTGTCTCTGCGAGTCCTGGGAGGCCTTCGGGTTGGGGTGAGGAGCAGTAGATTTGCTTGTCAGTTTGTCTTATCCTCGGTCCTCGCTCTTGACTTCAGAGGAGGGAGGAGCCGTGCTTGTGCAATGGTTTGTGGCAGGGGCTGCATGCAATGGAGGGCTGCTCAGCCTGCCTCGAGCACTTGGGGCTGAGAATGATGTTACTTAGGAAACGCAGGGCCTGGGAGGAAGAAGTGTCCTCAGTGAGTGCAGTTGGACTTCCCTAATCTGAACATCTGCAATCTGGACTGCTGCAGAATCCAGACGTCCAGAGCAGGAGGCGGAACTGGAGAAGTCCAGCACATATTCTGAAGTCTGGAAGCCTGAGACGCTCCGGGTCCCAGGAACTGTGGATAAGGGCGCACCACCTGTATACATTCCCTTTACACTGCTTAAGTCTCTTTAGGATTTTAACAGCCATACACATGCACACGCACACGCACATACACATGCACACACACATACACATACACACACATACACACGCACATACACACGCACATGCACATACAGCACATGCACATACACACACATACACATACACACACACATACACACACATACACACACATACACACACGCACACACACATACACATACACACATATACACACATACACACATACACACACATATACACACATACACATGCACATACACATACACACATGCACATACACATACACACACATACACACATACACACATACACATGCACATACACACACATGCACATACACATACACACATACACACACATACACATGCACATACACATACACACATGCACATTCACATACACACATACACACATACACATGGACATACACATACACACATACACACACATACACATGCACATACACACACATACACACACACATGCACATGTACATACACACACACGAGTGTGTTTTCTTTGAGCAGTTTCCAAGTCTATGACAAGAAAATGTAAAGCTTTATTTTCACTCCCTCCTCTCTTCGCTTCCTTACTGAGAGATATTCGCTGCTAAAATGCTATATGTATTTTTTAGTCTTTTCCGGTGGATTTAGACATAAACACAAATGCATGCTCATTATTTTAATGAAGTGGGAGCATGTTACATGTCTTGAATGCTTTGCTTAACTGGTCTTAGCTTTCTTACGTGTGTTCTGTAATATGGCTACTACTTTGGATTTTTATTACCCTTTCTTGGCTCGTGTCTCGCATGAATTTCTACTTCTGGTGCATATGTGATGTGTGTTTCTTTATTTAAACTCAGTATGGAAAACTGCAAACCTGTGCAAGATAAGAGAGATCAGTGCAGTGAACCCCATGTGCCCGGTGGTGGGCATCAGTCCTCAACTCGATGCCAGTCCTGCTTCATCTGAGCCATCGCAAGCCCACGCTAGATTATCTGAAAACAAATCCCAGCCCTGTATCGTCACATCTGTAGATGTTTCTGAGTCACAATCTGACATGATAGAAGCTTTATAAAAAACACAGTGAAGCATGAAACTTTTACCATACCTAGAATGTAGCAGTAATTCTCATTGTCACCAAATAGTCATGAAATAGTTAGCCCTTGTTCAGATGTACCTATCTCATAAGTATTTTTTTTTTTTTTACATTTTGTTTGACTCGGTAGATAAATAGGGGTGACCAGTAGGATTGGTCAGGTTTTTTTGCTTTTGTTTTTCAAAACCTGACGCTTCCTTTCTGAGGAATTTGCAGGTCTGATTTCACACATGGTTTAGGAAGTAAAGGATAAACTTGCAGTCCGGCTGCGTATAAGCCATGTGAATATCAGGGAACTTCAGAAAGCTGGTGGAAAATGAAATGAAAAGACAATTTTTTTGACCCAAGCATTCTTGAAATCTGTGTATATTCTATGTAAAAGAAAATATCATGGAAAACATATATTATGAAAAAAACCTATGCATGGATTTTACATTTTTTTTTTTTTTTGCATCAAAATAAACTTACCTCTTAATTCCATTTTCCATGAACTTTTTGCAGTACCTGTGTCGTCAGCGGGAGGAGAGCTGGGGGGAGGTGTGTGAAGGGCTGGAGTTGGCACGGTGGGGAGGAAGGCCTGGTGACGGGAGAGTCACTAGGGTCACAGTGCTGGCTGAGGGTGTCGGAGTGAAGGAGTCGGCTCCTCACGCTAACACTTTTTCAGCCACAAGTTTCCTGTCCGGTTTCCCTGTAGCTTTGGAAGTGCTCTCTGCTTTTGCTGTCCAGTTAGTATAAAGCGAGTGGCACTGGGGCTGACTTCTCCCTTGTAACGGTGTGGCAGCCTCTGCCGGATCCGGTGACTAGGTGACTAGAGCAGAAGCCTTGTCAGTAGCAGGGGGAGGCTAACTGTCCTGGCTGAGATCTCTGGTATCCAGTCGGCTACGTAAGATGTGCTTCGGGCCGCATGCCCTGCCGCTGCCACTGCGTCAGCCTCCCCTTACCCTCTGGGACAGAGAGCGAGCTTGGGGCTGCAGGGGTGGAAGGGCAGAGTCTGCTGGCCTTAGGGACACTCGTGTCCTTTCTTTCCACACGGGGACATCCCCTCGTCTGGGACTATGGGTGCAACAGCCTAATCACCCACGGCTCTGGCTTATCTGGGCTGCCTGGTGCCTGTCTCTTGGCTCCATTTTTGTTTCTCCCCACATGGACCATGAGGCCCAAACCGGGTCTGCTTGCCATCATGATCGTGGAGCCCGCCCAAGTTCAGGGCTGCACGCTAATCAGGAGAAACCAGAGCGTCTGTTGGTACTGAGGATCACTGTTACATTTTACAGAGCAGCCTGGCAGCTGGAGAGCTTTCAGCCGGCACATTACCTCACCCACCAGTTCCTGGTTTCATAAAGCTTAAACAAACAGAGTAGGATTTCCAGGGATGGTTTGGAAATCTTTGAACTTAAACTGGTCATGTTAGAAGGGAACGCACATTGTCACCAGGGCAAGGAGGGGATTGGTAGTGATCAGTATTACAAAAAATATGATTTCTTAGTTCTGACATCTTGGCTCAGACTGTGCAGTGCGTGCAGCTGGCAGGACTCTACCCCACAAAGCGATTTCCACGGGTCTGGGCCCCAGGGCCAGAATCATATTAAGCCGGTGAGGTGCACACCTGCTCGGATTCTCCGGTGCAGCGTCAGCACACGGCTTGCCGGGTCCGCTTAGACAGAGTGCTCCCTGCTTTCTGATTAGGGAGGACCCAAGCTGGTGCAAGCGGACCGCCCAGTGTGTCCTGTGGGATGTGGTCCCTCCTGGCCGCCTGTCACCTGAGGGGCCAGGCAGTGGGTGGGAAATGACCGCCCTGGCCAGTCTTCCAGGCCGGCCTGTGATTACCCCTGTTAGGATAAATGGGCTCAGGATAAAGTATGGCTTTGGGGCGAGGTGAAGGTGAGTAGCATCTGCAGAAGGCTGCAGAGGGGCCTTGGGCCGGGATGTGTTGTACACAGTGGAAAGCAAGGCCCCACTGTGCAGGCCTGCGGTTCCCAGACAGAAAGCCCCTGACCGGTGGGGGAGGGGAGTGTGCCACTCGGTGGAGATGGGCACTTCAGATCGGCACTTCCTGTCTTTTTCTGGAGCGCTCCTCAGAGCGAAGACCCTTCTTGGCTGTTGTTTGAAGCAGTCCTTTGCTTTCAGGGCTCTGCTGGCCGGTGGCGGCTTTTCCACGTGGACCTACCGGCAGGGCTACGACGTCAGCATCCCCGTCTACAGTCCGCTGTCGGCTGAGGTGGATCTTCCCGAGAAGGGACCGGGGTAAGTGTGCCGGGTGCGGCCTTACTGAATCCGCGCACTGCCGAGGAGGTTTGTGTGGTGGCTGTCACAGCAGGGAGCGTCAGTGGCAGAGCAGGGTGCTCGAGTCTGCCATCCAGGCCCCCGTGCCTGGTATTTTTTTTTTTTCTTAAAGATTTATTTATTTATTTGAAAGACAGAGTTACAGAGAGGCAGGTAGGGAGAGGTCTTCCATCTGTTGGTTTACTCCCCAGATGGCCACAGTGGCTGGAGCTGTGTCAATCTGAAGCCAGGAGCCAGGAGCTTCTTCTAGGTCTCCCACATGGGTGTAGGGGCCCAAGGACTTGGGCCATCTTCTACTGCTTTCCAGGCCATAGCAGAGAACTGGATCAGAAGTGGAGCAGCCGGGACTTGAACCGGGTCCCCTATGGGATGCTGGCATGGCAGGCGGCAGCTTTACCTGCTGTGCCACAGCACCGGCGCCCCCATGCCCAGTCTTGCTTATCCTACAGTTTTCTCTGTCCCAGGACATTCATTCATGGTGCTGTCTACCAAGTTTTCCAAACCAGAAATCTGTGTGGCATCCCATAACTCCTACTTCTCCTTCACTTCTTGCTCCAAGATGATAAGGCTCGCTGGTTATGCATCCAGAACATTCCCTAGGTCTGTCTGCTTCCTGTCTCTGCTGCCTCCTCAGACCAGGTTGCTGTCGTCTCCTTTGGATCCCTGAGAGGGCTCCCAGTTTGCCTCCCCTGCCTCTAGTGTGATCCTTGGCTTGACACTGCCCTTAGGATAAAGCCCAGTCTCTCCCAGCGCCTCTCAAGGCTCTGGCATCTGACCACTGTCTCCAGCTTTGTCGTTTGAGAACTTCCCTTTTCTCCTGGTTCTTGGACCAGCATTGACCTCTGGGCTTTTCTGGGCTGCAAACACACTTCTTCCCTGCCTGGAAATCTTCTCCCTCAGCTCTGTCAGTCCAACACCTGCACATCATTTGAGGTTTCACCTTGACACCGTGGATGGGGCAGTGGTGGGGGCGCTTGCCCTGCCCCGGAATGGCTCCTCTGCTTTGCTCCCCTGGCAGCCTGCATGGCTCCCGGCATCCCACTCCCCACTGGCATAATGCCTTGTCAGAGCCTGTCTGGTTTACATTTTGAAAGTGCAGGAGGTTGGGGCCAGACCTGTTGCAGCTGCCATCTCTCGAGCAGCACGTGGCTGGCTCGTGTTTAATAGGCAACCCAGTGGATGAAGAGGGCCGATGGCCAGAAGTGGAGGGCCTTTTTTTTTTTTTTTTGCAGGGTTGTATTTAACAATTAATGCTAAGCAGTGAGAATTTCAGTGACCTTTAAGCAAACAATAAATGCACCCATTACTGTGTGAGCAGTACGCAGATAAGAAGGTGAATGAAAGGAAAAGTGCGTGTGAGGCGAGATGGGAAAGCACCACACGTGGCATTTTTTCCCAGAAGTGGGTCTCTGGGAATAGCACCACACGTGGCATTTTTTCCCAGAAGTGGGTCTCTGGGAATGGTTTGCGTTGTTTTCTTGGTGGATGTTCGAACCATTCTCCGAGCGTCCCAGGTTTCCCCCTGGAACCTCTCTGTAGCTTTGAGAAGAGAACTCTTCCCAGAAAAGATGTTGCTTTCCTACTTGTGTTTTCTGCCTCGTGGCCTGGAATCAAACCACGAAGCTTCTGTTAGCCGTTTCTTTTTTTTTTTTTTTTTTTTTTTTTTTTAAGATTTATTTATTTGTATTTGAAAGGCAGAGACACAGAAAGAGAAGGAGGAAAACAAGAGCGAGAGCGAGAGCGAGAGAGAGAGAATCTTCCATCCTATGATTCACTCTCAGATGGCCACAATGGCTGGGATGGGCCAGGGCGAAGCCAGGAGCTTCTTCCTGGTTTCCCATGTGGGTGCAGGGGCCGTCTTCTGCTGCTTTCCCAGGAGCATTAGCAAGGAGCTGGATCAGAAGTGGAGCAGCCAGGACTTGAACCAGCGTCTGTATGGAATGCCGGCACTACAGGTGGAAGCTTAACTTTCTATGCCACAGCGCTGGCCACGCTTCTGTTAGCCATTTGTTTGCAAATTGTGTAAGTTAGATCCTGTGTAAAGCCCAGAGAAATTTTTCTCCTCCACCCTTTAACAAGTTGCAAACAAAGGGTGAATAGTATGTGAGCCTGTTGCTCCACTCATCTTCCTGGGGTTTTCTCTCTCAGCAGACTCCTTAAGGTGACTCCATTTATTTTATTATTTACTTTATTGATATTAATTAATATACCACAGAATCCACTCTTTTAAAGTGTACATTCAGGGGCCGGTGCCATGGTGCAGTAGGTTAATCCTCTACCTGCGGTGCTAGCATCCCATATGGATGCCAGTTCAAGTCCCAGTTGCTCCACTTCTGATACAGCTCTCTGCTATGGCCTGGGAAAGCAGTAGAAGATGGCCCAAGTCCTTGGGCCCCTGCACCCACGTGGGAGACCTGGAAGAAGCTCCTGACTCCTGGCTTTGGATCAGCCCAGCTCTGGCCATGGTGGCCATTTGGGGAGTGAACCAACAGAAGGAAGACCTCTCTCTCTGTCTCTCCCTCTCACTGTCTGTAACTCTACCTCAAATAAATAAATAAAATCTTAAAAAAAAAAAAAAGTATACATTCAGTGGTTTTTAGCATATTTACAAAGTTGTTCATTTATCATTAATACTACGAATTCTTGAACATTTTCATCAGTCCAAAATAAATCCAGTACCCCTCACTCATTAGTTAGTTCTTATACTCTCTGCCCTCAGCAACAATTATTAATCTGCTTTTCTGCCTGTGGGAGACCAGGAGGAAGCTCCTGGCTCCTCCTGGCTTTGGATTGGCTCAGCTCCGGCCAGTGCGGCCATCTAAGGAGTGAACCAGCGGAAGGAAGACCTTTCTCTCTGTCTCTCCCTTTTACTCTCTGTAACTCTACCTCTCAGATAAATAAATAAAAAATGTTAAAAAAATTTTAATATGTGACATTTTCAAAGTTTATCCATGTTTTAGCACCTAATACAGTTTCATCACATGGAGGTACTTCATTTTGCTCACCCATTTATCAATTGATGAAAATTTCATTATTTCCACTTTTTAGCCATTATGAAAAATGCTGTTATGAGATTCATATACACGTTTTTGTGTAAACCTTTGTGGCTGATAATCTTGGGTATCCCCCTAGGAGTGGAGTTGTGGGGTCATATGGTAACTTCCTGTCTAACTTTTGAGGATCTGCCGCACTGTTTTCCCAAGTGGCTGCAGTATCTTAGGTTCTGTCAGTATTGTATGAGGGTTCCCGTACCTGTCAGCACTTTTGCTGTCTGTTTTTAATTCTAGCCATCCTGGTGGATGTAGAGCAGTATCTCATGACAGTTTTGGCTTGTCTTTTTCTAATGACTAATAATAATGAGTACTTTTTGACATGCATATTAGCCACTTACGTAATTTCTTTGTAAGAAATGTTTATTTGATTTGTCCATTTTTAAATTAAGTTGTATTTTTGTAGTAGAGCTGTAAGAATTCTTTTTTTTTTTTAAGATTTTATTTATTTATTTGAAAGGCAGAGTTAAAAACAGATAAGGAGAGACAGAGAGAAAGGTCTTCATCTACTGGTTCACTCTCCAAATGGCTGCAACCACCAGAGCTGGATCGATCCAGAGCCAGGAGCTTTGTCCAGGTCTCCCATGTGGGTGCAGGGACCCAAGAACTTGAACCATCTTCCACTGCTTTCCCAGGCCATAAACAGAGAGCAGGATTGGAAGAGGAGCAGCCGGGATATGATCCAATGCCCATATGGGATTCCGGCACTGCAGGCAGAGGGTTAGCCCACTGTGCCACAGCATCGGCTCTTAATTATCTTTTAAATAATGTAGCTTGAGTTAAACAAATGAAAAAACGGTCTAGACTCCTTAGGTTTGTACATCTATGAAACCAAAACCAGTTTACAAATTAAATACAAAGAAACACATCTGTAAAACTCAGAACATTTCAGATTGACATAGTTGAATGTGATAGCTGTTTCTTTGAAATGGAATTGCGTTTTTTAAGGTGAAATTGAAGTTAATTGTAGGCACCTTGGGTTTGGCCTGTACCGTGGCATACTGAGGCTGGTGTACTCTTCCCTTCCACATTGTCTGTTTAAACCCTTAGGAAGCTCCCGTTTGTCTAGCATATTGTGACATTATCTTCATCTGATACAGGTGCACTTTTTCCCTAGCATTTTATTGTGAGAATTTCCAATCAGCAAATTTTGAAAAATTTTATGGTGAACATAATATGTACTGCTTTCAAGATTTTACTGTCTGCATTTTACTCTGCTTGCTTTCTATGTATTAAATTTTAAGTCTTCCTCTCATTAGCCCACTCAGCACAAACTTGGGCATTGTATTAGTCTGGTTTTTTTTGTTTGTTTGTTTGTTTGTTTTTTTGAAAGTCAGAGTTACAGAGAGAGAGAAGAGAGGTCTTCCATCCGCTGGTTCACTCTCCAGTTGGCCACAATGGCCAGAGCTGTGCCAATCCGAAGCCAGGAGCTTCTTCTAGATCTCCCATGTGGGTGCAGGGGCCCAAGGAATTGGGCCATCCTCCACTGCTTTCCCAGGCCATAACAGAGAGCTGGATTGGAAGTGGAGCAGCTGGGACTTGGACTGGCACCCATATGGGATGCTGGCACTGCAGGCAGCAGCTTTACCTGCTACGCCAAAGCTTCCACTGCTTTCCCGGCCCCACTGTTTTCTGTTACTGTAACTGTATATCACAGACAGAGTGATTCATAAAGAACCATGGTCATTCAGCTCATGGTGCCGAAGGCTGAGAAGTTCAAGGTTGGGCAGCCGTGTCTGGTGAGGTAGACTCCTTTAGTCTGAAGAGGTTGAATTAGTTAAATGCCATGTTTTTTAAAAAATTTTTTAAGATTTATTTATTTATTTGAAAGGCAGAGTTATACAGAGACAGAGGCAGAGAGAGGGAGAGAGGTCTTCCATCCACTGGCTTACTCCCCAAATGGCTGCAATG